GAAAATGAACATAGAAAATTAAGTCTTTGAGAATGGCTGTTCCTATTAAATGTGTATCTGGGAATACTAAGCGTCTTAATAGCCCTACTAAAAAAGAAGAAAATGTGCTCTTTCCTTAAAAAACATAGGGCTAATATTGTTATGATCCAATAAACTGATCTGTCAGTACAGAAATCTCACAAAATAGGGTATGATTGGTTTAATTTAGCAATCTCTAGTGTGTATAATGATGTCGCATGGAGTTTCTATTTTAGTGCATAATAAACCATGCCCCCATTTAACTGACATAGCTGGTATTCCAGGTGGTTCTTGAACCTGTTAAAATTATGGAATCCATTTTTACTTTGGGATGTGTCTGTGGTCCCAAAGGAGATAGTCCAACATTTCGCCATTCTTTTTTTTTGTAAAACTCTCTTAATTTGTGAGATGCTCTTACATTTTGAGGGGAGACTGGAATGAATGTTCAGAGTAATATAGATGATTGGACTGAGGAGAACTGCAGCCCTCACCCTAGTGCCAAGTCCAGTGCCTCCCTCTCTCTAGGAAGCATGAGAGGTGGAAATCCTTTCTTGGAATTATCTGTTGTGGCCCCATACGGAAAGGGGAAGAGGTCCTTCACACTGGGAGGGGGCAGAGGGGAAAGATTGAATTGAGAAGAAGCAGTGAAGAATATAATACCATCCCTGGCAAAGCAGAGGAAGTCTTTGTCCACAGCAACGGTTTGGTAGAAGGGATTAATTTGGGCTCTGACTTACTGCTCATGCCTGGAACATTTCCTGAAGTGATGGAGTTGGCAGGTCCTACCCATAACATGTTATTACAATGCATTACTCTGGATAGAGTAATTCTTTTGAATCATAGGATGGATCAGGATCTGGAAACCAAGCCTGGCACCCAAGGAATGTTTTTTTGTCCACCAACAGAATGTTGTTCCAGCCCCACCTTTTGTGATATAGCTGGGTGAAATATAGTGGCCAAATCCTTTTTTCAATAGTGATAACATAATCATTAGCATCAAAACATTTAATAAATTCTCCTAGGTTTGGCCCAATTCCTTGCTCTAAGTCATGGTGTACACGTAGGTCTAGTCAGATACCTGATGAATCCATTTGTGAATGACAAGGCCAATTCAAGAGCAACACAGCTTGTTACAAGTTTCACAGATCCATATGTTGTCTGGGTTGGAGTCCAGGTTTACAGTAGGCTGCTTTCTTCTTTTTTGCTTTGCTTCCATCCTCTGGATCAAAGCCATTTCATGTTGAGCTGCACCCAGCGCCAGATGTTCTCTCAGATGGGACGGGATTCTGTGTGCTTCTCACAGCTTTCTACATTGATACTGAACAACTGCATTTAATTTTTGCACACATTGTGGTATCATCATAGAAAGTGACCCCACTTTTTAGAGCTATCCTGAATCTCGCTATACAAAATATTCTTGGGGATAGAGTTTTCTCCCAATCTTCTGACAAAGCAATCCATCTCAACCTCCTCTTCTTGATAGTGGTTTCTAAGTGTGTCAGTCCTGCGTACTCCACTACCTCTGTGTTTAGTATTCTGTATTTCCCACTTTATTTTCAGCAAATGAATAGCTTACACTTTAGAGGTTTTGTCCTGGCTTTGAAAAATGAAACGTTGATTGTTTTGAGTTAAGATAACCTTAGGTTGCAAATATGCCCGCCTATTTCGTTTTAAACTGCATTAAAACATTTTGAAATGAAAGGTTTCAGTTTAGGTTGAGCAAAATGATATGTTTTGCTGTTAACTACATTTTTCTTTTAAACTTTTGTTGGGCCAAAACTGTCAACTCATCTATCATTGGGGACAACTGGAAAAATAATGTAAGTTATTTGGAAATACCAGAGAATCAAAACAACAACAAAAACACAATCCATCATTCCTTTACCGGTTTCTATATCTGAAGCACTCCTATGACAAAAACTAGAGTAGCCTTGCTCTCCCCCTGAATGGAGGGAAGCAGGGAAGAGGAAAGCAAAGACGGAAAAAAGAGTGCAAAGGCAGGAAAAAATGAAAAGGTACACCTCAAGCACCCCTAGAGTTTCTAAATGCAGGTGGGGAATTTTTCTGGCATCACATCAATTCCATGCCTAGGGCTCAGCCAGTGAGAGATGGATCAGGCTGAGCAGATGCCAGACCCCCTCAGAGCTATTACCTGTTAGACGCTGAATCCTTAATTACACAATGGAAGGTGTTACAGGGTTCCCTCGCTTTATGCAGGTTCTGTATGTGTGAATTCACTCTTATTATATAACTCTTTTTATACCAAAAATTTGTTATATGCAAGGTAAATTCACTCTTATGTGATCCGTGTGGTGGAAGCCTGTAGTCAGCTGCTTTGTGCAGTGCATTGTGGGAGTGACGCACACCAAAATATAGTCTCCTGCATGGATCTGTGCTCCTCGCTCATTGTCTGCAAGATGTGTTTCTGTCCATCCCCATTATGGCTCCTAAACATTCTGCTAGCTTATCTCCTACCCCTTGCCCTAGTCCATCAGTGAAGCCTTCACCACCCTCTCTTCACACAAACGAAACATTCACCACCACCCTGTGCTTGTGTGCACTGTCTGCTATTGGTGAGTATCAAAATTGTCTTGTAGCAGTGGTAGAAATGGGTTTGGGGGTCAGTACAGTCAGGGTCTTGGAATGCATCCCTATTTGTTACATTGTAAAGTGGGTTCCCTTTATGCAAATTGAAGTTATGTGCCATTTTCCAGGAACGCATGTACAGCATATAGCGAGGGAAACCTGTACTCCTCCCAAAATTCAGTACAGGAAAGGATATTTAATGGTGGCAGGCTGCTCTCAGCAGGGTGTTCGCCTACAGCGTGGCACTCCCCCTCTGCTAAGGTAGTTAGTACAAACCAGACAGACTTGGTTGTTAAGTGAAAACCACAGGAATATATTATAATACTAATAGACAACAATGACAGCAATTATATACAATTATATACAAGGACTATAGTGCAATGGTGAGTGGAACATAACGGTAGGAGAGACAAATGAAATCGAACACAGACCCCCTCTCTGCCTACTTGAAACTATGTTGCAGTTCATACACACAGACTGTCACAGGCTCTCAGACACTTGCTCTCGATAGAATCTGTGAGGATTTCCCATCTCCCCAGGAGATTTTCCTCTCCCGAGGGTACTCTGTCTCCTTGTTTGAGGGAAGGGTAATACTTTACCATCCAAGGGGTGATGGACAACTGGTATCAGTACTGGTCGGCTATGCTGGATCCCAAGTGGTGCCGCTGGGAAGCGTTGCTCCACCCACATCACACACACAACTACAATCACCTCTCTCCTCAGCCGCCCATACACAGATCCAAGCTCTCCATGGACACCAGTCCATGTGTACCTCACCAAGCACCTCACTCGCGCATACTCTTGCACAAACCACCCACATACTCTCAGGCCAGCAACACTTTTTAAATACCTTAAAGTAACCAACATTTCAGACTGGTGTCGATCATCATCTAGACCAATCAGGACCAAGAAAGCCCTGTCACTCGTGGCTTTTGAAACAAATGTATTCATTTTTAAACTCTAAGCCAATCGTTATCCAGCTCACCTCAGAGGTTGTCTGCCACCTGGTTGGTGCCCAAAATCTTGTTATATCTTATACTACTGTGCATGCCCACACACAGAAAACAGGTCTTTACCTCATCAGTGGTAAAAAGTTCACTTATTCTTGAGCCTTCAGGTTTTTCTGCCCATGGAGTGTGTGCAAACTTACTCTAACTTTGTAACTGTCACTCAAATTTCTTAACTGCTATGCAACTCACTGGCGGGTCCGGGGATGTACCACCTTGTGGTCTACATACCTTCTACACAGATGGGATCAGTTTTTTATGAAAATTACCAAATGGGTAGAAATTGCAAAAACCTCCTCCCTAGCATTCAGGGGCGAGAATCCAAATGCTCTCCGTCCAACTCTGTAAGCAGAGACCTTGTGAGTGAGGCCGGTTGGGCAAAGCCCCAGTGGCTTCTAACCTTGCCCATTGCCCTGTGCCCCTCACCAGGGTGTGTGGTGTCAGGGGTTTTGTGAGGTCACTGTTTTCTTAGTCTTCCCACTACCAAAAGCCTCTGTGACTTGCTTGCTATATCTTGATATAAAGATATCTGCCTTGGAAATACTGAGGTCCTCTGTGGGTCTGGTAATTCAGCCAGCTTCCCCAGCTGTAAAGTGGTTTGCTCAGGCCTGGGGTGTTTGGAGAATTCACTGGTTGGAGTCAGGGTTTGGAAGAGCTGAGGGCTAAGGTTTCCAAGTGCTCTGTCCCCAGCATGAAGGCCACACATTCAAAAACCTTAGCTTTTCTACAGGCACCTAAAGGACTACATTTTCCATCGTCAGTACCGTACCTAGACTCCTGGGTGAACTTTTAGTATCAGGCCCTCCTTCGCCAGAGATTGATAATAATAATTTTTAAATTACCAGTTTTGGGCCCCGTTTCTGCCTGGGCCGCCCAGTTCACCCATGCCTGTGTCCGGCTGTATCCACAGTTTCGTGCATCCAGCAGAGTCCACTGTAGCACTTAGAGCAGAGCTTTCCTCACCCTTGTACTGGAGTCCAAAGCAGGGTGAAGGATCACAGGGGTTTCTCTCTCACTATGTGAGTCTGGAGGGTTGTTAGGCCTCCTTAACCCCTCAAGTCTATTTATCAAATGTGGTGGATGTAAGGGCCCAAACTCCGAGCACTGGCCTAGAGCCCGGCCCCACTCGAAGACACTGAATTGAATGACCATACAACATAAGGATAAAGTTAAACTCAATTGTATATTGTAACAAAATAATACACAACAACCGTACCCACTATAAACCAGAATCAGACAACAGGTAACAAACTAATATTTACATAAGTGAATCAGAACACCACCCTGTCATCACAGGGTAGCAGCAAAGCACACTCAGGCCTGTTTACAGAAACTGCTTCTCCAGTATTTGCTGTAACTGATGGGGTTTTTAATCCGTTCCCTTAACAGGTACTAGGCACCTGACCTGAAAACCTGGGCCGGCAAGTGATATGTTACCCTCTCCGAGTTATGGCAGGTGTATGCATGCGTGGAAGGAGTCACCCTCTCAGGTAAGTCTCCTTACCAATCTAATAGGAAACTTTTCACTCTGTCGCAACCCCATATGCACTCATGCACCTATCACTTCGAAACAAACACCTCTCTCCAGTGTGCGCAAGTACATTATCACCATACATCATCAATTCTCCCACACGATGAACACACACTTTTCAGCCCCCCCACTCCTATCAATCATCAATCTAGCCAGTCATCAACTGAATCATCATGTCAATCATCTGCCCATCACTGATGGACCACTCAGGAGCATCTCTACCTCACATGACATTTGCTACATTTCCTGCCAGAATGGTTATGTAAACAAGAGGTACCACACATGCCCAAGATGAATTAATGTATGGAAACGGGTCATGGCTTTATCAAAGGGCAAAAGTTCATACCTTCTGGAACCATCAAGCCCTCTAGCCATGTACATGTGTACACATGTTCCATGATGTAATAAATGACAAGGCCACAGTCTGGGGTCTAAAAGGGGGCAGGGTAAAAGGGTCACTACTCAGTCAACTTTGTGTCTCTGTGTAGGGGCCTGCTCTAATGTTCTTGTGTGGGGATGGGGTGCAATCACTACTTTCCTTGAGCACTCCAGTCTATAACAGGGTTGACCAAACTGCAACACATGGGGCATGTCTACACATGCATTAAGGAGCTTTTTCCAATGCACTTTAAATTTAGTACCTCTAATGTGTGGTACTAAACAAATATTTATTAGGCTGCCTTTATGTGCAGTAACAAATGCGCAGATTTTAAGTGATGCTTAATGCACAGTAGCTTATTTTACTGCATATTAGTATAATCACTTTTTTATGCAATGCTTTAATGCACAGTAAAATAGGCTACTGTGCATTAAAGCACACATGTAGATGTGGCTATGGGCAGTTTAAATGTGACTCTGTTAAAATCTGTTAAAATCCAAACCCCTAGTGTCAACCTCATTTTTTTAAAAGGCTGAATTGGGTTCACACACCAAATTTGAACAGCCTTTCATGAGGTATCAAGGGCACAAACAGAAGTTACGTTTGCCCCCTTCCGTTTGTTTCACATGGCTGGCTCTTCCTCATTTCTCAGATCTGGGTTACTCTCTTGCTGGGAGGATCACTGCATCCTCAGACCTGGGTTCTCAGCCTCTGGTGAGTCCCTCTAGCTCTGGGGTGGGTGTGGGGGGAATGCTTTTAAGGTGTGGGGCCATTTGGGCTCCTCCATACCCATAGTAACAGGGCCAGGCCCTGTTACAGTCCCCTACTGAAACTAAAGTGCAGGGCTGTTTTTCTCTTAAATTTGGGAGGTGCCGGGACAAGCCCATAGCAAACCTGAGTTTCTGCAGGAGAATGTGACTTGCTCCAAGGGTCTGTTTGGGCAATGGCAGGTGTGTCTTTGCCAGCTCCCGCCCTCAGGGTTTCCCCACTAGTCCTCAGGTGTTCCTCAGGGACAGAGGGACCTAGAGAGTGCAATCCTGCAGTAACAGCCCTGCATTTTGCATATTGGCTTCTATTCCATCCAGGAGAATGCAAAGCAACAGCATACTTTCCCTATGCCTGAAGAAAGGTTTTATTTCATGGACCTCTGCTTTTCCTTCCCTAATTGGTGAATCCCTCAAAATCCCTGGAGATCTTCAAAAGGAGAGTGGATGCACACCTTGCTGGGCTTATTTGACCCCAGCAGTCTTTCCTGCCCAGAGCAGGGGGGCTAGACTCGATGATCTCATGAGGTCCCTTCCAGCCCTAAACTTCTGTGAATCTGTGCCTGAATCTGGGATATGCTAACCTGTGGCACCCCCTAGTGATCCACATAATGAATAGCAATGTTTTGGGGTTGCACTGGAGACTCATATTTAATTTAGATGAAAACTGACTGAATTTGCACACCCCATGACTGATTTCAGGAAAGTGCATTGAAATGGAATTCCTACAGGGAGCTTCACAGATAGATGCATCTCATTAAACTTCCTTCCTGAGTGTAACAATGCTAGGGATAATGTGTTAGAATTCATGGAGGCTTACTTGGCAATTATCTTTTAGTTAATTAAACCAGATCCCAAAAAGTATGTGACTTCCACTGTAGTCAATCTTGAGTGGCCAACATACAACAAAGGTAAATGCACAATGACTATTTCAAGTTAGTTCTCTACAACAAATGGTAGGGCATGCTGGCTTTCAAGGGGAAATGTTTCTTTTCTTTTTAGAGATGCATGGGAAACATGTTCTCTCTATTTTCCCTTCTGGACAATGGGGTGAAACTGAGACCTGGTAAAAGGTGTTTGAAAAAAATATGAGACTCATTAGCCTGAGGGACACTTCTGGGCTTTAGGGGTTCATCTACACATGCAATTAATCTGCATGAATAAACTCCAGAGCTTATTGTCCTGGGGTCTTCTGCTCCTGTGCTTGCCTTTTGAATGTGTGCCTGGGAGCAAAATACTCTGGAGTAAATTGCTCCAGAGTTTATTCATGCACAGTTTATTGGGCTGGGTCAAAGCAACCCCAGCTGGCAGCAGGCCAGGGCTGCTCCAACTGGGCTTAATGTGCTGCAGAGGGGCTGGCTGGGGCATGAGGGTGCTTCAGTTTAGGGCTAGCTGGTAGGTAGCCCCTGCACTGAAGCCCCTTCATGTCCCAGCCAGCCAGGCAGCACCTACACATGTGCTGCTGCACAGAAAAAAACTCTGCAGCAGGGTGGTACTTATGTTTACAAGTACTAGCCTGCTCCAGAGTTTATTAGTTTTTTGAGCCCTAATAGGGGCACACGTTAGGGTTGCCAACCCTCCAGGATTGTCCTGGAGTCTCCAGGAATTAGGCATAAATCTCCAGGAGACTGCTGAGAGTCACTCAGGAGATAAATGATAGAGCATTCATTAAAACAGATATTAAATGTTGATTCTGATTTATACAGTAGTCCTGTGGGTTTTTAAAATGTAATAGCAATGTGCATTTGCCTTCCTGATATAAAGTCTACACACCATAATCTGTAACTGATCTATAGGCAAGCATGCAGGCACAGTGGTGTTGTGTTGCAGGCACGTTGGTGTCGTCTCTTGTGGGCCTGTTGGTGTTGTCTCTTTAGTCTACTAACTATGCTACACTGTGCAGTGTATTAATATAATTAATGTTATTATGTCATGTGATGAAACCTCCTGGAATAGAGTCAAACAGAGTTGGCAGCCCTAGCACATGTGTAGACATGGAGACATTTACTGTGGGGCTAATTAGGCAGCTCCACAGTAAATGTCTTGCGTAGATGCACCCTGGGAAACCCACATCCATGCTCTGTTCCTCTATTCTATCATATGCTAGATGACTGGCCTAAGCACCAGACTATTCAGGGATACCTCTCCTTCAGGCTTTCCTCTGAGAGATGTTCCATTTTGTATATTTTTTCACTGACCAGGAACCTGAAACTAGGTATCCAATCCATGCTCCTAGGTGAGTGTCTTGACTGCCACACTATTCTAAAGTATCTCTCTCTCCCTCTCTCTCTGGTTTTGACAAAATACCACCCTAGAGCTGAGAATTCTTTCCCTTTGGAAACTGGAACCCTCCTACCAAGAATTTCACTTATGTTGAATCAACATTTTCTCATAGGGGGAAAAAAACTGTTCAATCAAGACTTCTTCAACCTGCCCTAATTCTGTTTCATCTGCTTCAAAACTGGGCTCATTTGAGGGCAATAATATCAATGTATTATTCAGCTGTGAGCTGTGAATTCTTTAGTTCAAGTGTTCTTCTTTGACACAATCTCCAGTTATCTTTTAAATGGTAGTAATCTTCTTTTAAAAGGCTGTTCATAACAATCTCTGAGGGGCACATGCATAAGTCTGAATATTGAGGAAAAGATGGGCTGGAGTAGAAGGCATAATATTTTATGCAGATCTGAAGCAAAGGCACTTTCTGTTCCTACAGACAATTTTCATCATCAAAGCTTAATCATTATGTTTTAGCTTCTGTATGATATTTAAGACTAGCTGAAAGTCAAAATTAGGCCAACACATATTGCTCATTTAGGAGTGCAATACATTGCTGCATTTAAAGAAGTCAAATCGTTTTAATGCTTACTAGGTTTGCAATGGATCATTTCCCCCCCTTTCTTAGATTAGATTGCTTGTGTAATTAAGCTTTATTGTTTCTAGTTAGAGAAAAAGCAGAGAGAACTCAAGACAGTCTCATTTTCTTAGCTGCCTGTTGCATTTCAAGAATTAAAATAACATAGCCCTCTTCAAATCTAGTGAGTTAAGGGTCTTAGCACATTTAATTTGGAACTTTGCTTGATTGTGCACCAGCTGTTAGTAAATACACTGGAGAAGGCCTTGGGGGTTTGGGTGTTACTTCCTCATCTGAAAATCAGGGAAATCTCTTCTAAGCAGTCACACCTGAGGTTGAAGGAAATTAATTGCCTTGTATGGCTAAATCTTTCAGCCCGAACACAACTGTTGTGAGCCTTGGTAGTGCTGTAAAAGTTACTGGTTGAGATGGGTTTATGTTATGGTGGGTAAAAAGCATATCTTCTGTAAAGGAAAAGCTGTCTCTGACCTGTAAGCAGTTCAGAGGAATCTATTTATACTGAAGACTCTGATCCATGGACCTTATGATTGTCTTTGCATTGGGATGTATGGTAAGTTGAATGATCTCTTTTGTATCCATACATGCACTGTATGCAATTCCAATGTGTCTGCATTTAATTCTGATGCAATGGCAATGAGGTGCTGGCCTCTTCTTTATCTTGTATTTGGTAATGTTTATCTGACTCTATGCTAGTAATCAAACTGTTACCAGTATTTATTTGGTCTAGTATGGTTTTTCTCATGATATCAGTAATTGTGTTATTTGTTGATCTACCAGAACCTTCTCATTAATTTCCTTGCATCAGAAAATTGCCCATGTTTCAACTATGCCTATGTATTAAAAAAGTAACTTTCTTTTGTAGCCAAGTCAGTCTGTTTTGAGAAGCTGATTTTATTCTATATGCAGTTTCAGAAATTTGAAGATGTAGACTTTTAAACGTGGGA